AGCTACTCTGCTTGAGAGACTGAGGAGCCGAAGATCACTTGAGCCAGGGAAGGTGAGGCTTCAGTGAGCCATGACCCTGCCACTACATTCCAGCCTGGGTGAAAAAGAGTGAGACCCTGCCTTTAAAAAACGATCTATTTTATGTACTATTTATATATTTATTTATTGAGACAGGGTCTGGCTCTGTTGCCCAAGCTGGAGTGCAGTGGCACTATCTTGGCTCACTGCAACCTCTGCCTCCCAGGCTCAAGTTATCCTCCTACCTTAGTCTCCCCTGTAGCAAGAACTGCAGGTGCACACCATCACACCGGCTAATTTTCTACTTTTTGTAGAAACAGGGTTTTGCCATGTTGCCCAGGCTGGTCGCAAACTCCTGAGCTCAAGCAGTCTGTCCACTTTGGCCTCCCAAAGTGCTGGGATTGCAAGTGTGAGCCACTGCATGGGGCCTTTTTTATGTACAGTTCGATGTCATGTGTTTCAATTTAATGTTAGGTATTTTTTTTACAGTAGTTTAAAAAAAAAGATTCAATGAGAGGAGGCTCAGGAATTCGCATTTTAACAAGCTCTCCAGGTGATGCTGATGCAACACCAATGCTAAGCAACACTACCCTAGCTAATTGCAAATTCCTTTAGGAGAGCAGTTTTTAGGATTATTACAGGATACGGCAGAGGTTGCAAACAGATGAAGTCTTAGTTCAGGCTGCTGTAACAAAGTCGCATAGACTGTGTGGATTATAAACAACTACATTTCTCTCTTGTGGTTCTGGAAGCTCTAAGTCTGTGATCAGAGTACCACCATGGTCAGGTCAGGTTTTGGTGAGGTCCCTTTTCAGGGTTATAGAATGCCAACTTCTTGTTGTATCCTCACCTGGTTGTGAGAGTGCTAGCTAGCTAACTGCCTTCTTTCTAAAAGGTGCTATTCCTGTTCTTGGGGGACCCATTCTCATGAACTAATTATCTCTCAAAGGCCCCATCTCCAAATACTATCTCATTGTGATTTGGATGTCAACATATGAATTTTGAGAGCCGTACAAACATTCAGTCCATTGCAGGTGGTCTGCGGCCTTAGCCAGATATGTGGACATTTTATTCTTAGGAGTGTTGACATTATTTATTTAACTTTATAATTTATTAGCAGGTAATTTCTGTAAAAAATATCTGTTTCTAGCGTCTCTAAAATAATAATGAACAGGTGATACAATGCTGTCATTCTTAAATACTAGTTGTATCTGTCAGACACATGAACACAGCTGTGCTCCTGGTAACCACCCCACCCCACATACAGTACAGGTGCAGGTCCTTTATCTCTGCCCGCTGCCAGAAGGCCTGTCAGTTTGCCACTCCTAGTACATGGCATAGATAGTTTCCATCCTCTGCAACAGTGCCTTCCTATCTTGCTGGCGTTGATCTTCTGGCTATTTGTTCTACCCGTTGTTGACTATTTAGGTCACAGAGTGTTAGTTGAGCACTTTCTCTATTGGAAATGTATGATGATTTTCCATTAATGATATTACAATAAGGTAAGAGAGAGCCATACTTATCACTCATGTAATTAATTGTATATTTCCAAATTCCACATGCATTTTGCTTGTAAGCATATAATGTACCCCTTTGTTTACTGAGAACACTCAGTAACTGTCTTAGATTTTTCCATTAACTTCCCACCATGTACTCAGAGTCATCTAGCAGTCCTTCTTCATATCTCCTTTTCTAAGAAGAGCCTTAACATGATTATAGGTTTAACAACTTTTTTGACATTAATTTTTATTAAAATCAGTTTTGAATATTATTGATGATGCAGTCTTTCTACCTAATTATAATCAATGCTTCTCAAAACTCTTACTAACTGGACATCTCTAGCATCTCCCAAGCACAGATATATACATAAATAATGAAGGCTCAGGCCTGTGATGCTGGCAGGATGGGCAACTGTCATGGACTTCATATTGCTAGGAAGCTCCATAGCCACTGATGAGACCAGAAGTGGCATGATAAACAGTACAAGAAAGCCCATCTGGGCACAGCCCTGAAGGCCAACCTTTTTGGAGGTGCTTCTCATGCAAAAGGAATCGTGCTAGAAAAAGTAGGAGTTGAAGCCAAGCAGCCAAATTCTGCCATTAGGAAGTGTGTCAGGGTCCAGCTGACCAAGAATGGCAAGAAAATCACAGCCTTTGTACCCAATGATGGTTGCTTGAATTGTATTGAGGAAAATGATGAAGTTCTGGTTGCTGGATTTGGTCGCAGAGGTCATGCTGCCTGGAACAACACTTTTAAAAAAAACTGTTTAGAGAACCTAGCTAAAGGAAAAAGTAGCTGCAATGAATGTTTAAGACAGGACCAAATGGACATCTTTGCTAGTAAGTCAAGATCTCTCAGTTAGACAACACAAAGTTTTAAATTTTAAGTTACCATTCCTAATAAAGTTCATAGATAAAGAAAAAAGTGGCTGCAGGGAATGTTTAGAGCATCATTATGTCTGTCCTGCTTTGTGGTTGAAACAGTTACTGGCTGGGCGCAGTGGCTCAAGCCTGTAATCCCAGCACTTTGGGAGGCCGAGGTGGGTGGATCACGAGGTCAAGAAATCGAGACCATCCTGGTCAACATGGTGAAACCCCGTCTCTACTAAAAATACAAAAAAAAAAAAAAAAAAAAAAAAAATTAGCTGGGTGTGGTGACGCATGCCTGTAATCTCAGCTACTTAGGAGGCTGAGGCAGGAGAATTGCCTGAACCCAGGAGGCGGAGGTTGCAGTGAGCCGAGATCACGCCATTACACTCCAGCCTGGGTAACAAGAGTGAAACTCCATCTCAAAAAAAAAAAAAAAAGAAAGAAAGAAACAGTTACTAAACCTCTCAGCCTGTTTCTTCATCTGTAATATAATGCAGATAATAACAATATCTACCTCATAGCATTGTATAAGGATTAAATGAGATAATGCATCAAAGCACACATAACTCTCAATGTTATCTGTAATAAAATGTATTAATATTACATTATCCTTATGCCATGAGTCTCATACTTGTTCTATACATTCAGAAAATAGAACTACAAAAGAGCATAAGTCAGAAGGGTCTTAGATGCTTGTCTAATAATGAAGTCGAAGTAAACTTACAAACGGTGTTTATTTAAATAGGCATTGACAATTGCACATCAAGCTAGTCAATAGTACCATAATAGTTTTTTTTAATTATTATTTTTATATAAGTCTTTGGGTCTGAAAGTGTTTTTTTTTAATCTTCACATTTATGCTATTTTTTTATTTAAAGTACATGTTTTTGTAGACAATCCTCCATCAAATAACTAATTTGTGTGCATCTATGTACGTATTGGCTGCTTTTCTTAAGGAATGAGCCACTGTGAGCTTCCTCTTCCCAGAGAAACACCACAGCAACGGTCAACTGCAGAGATAATTCATAAGACAAACAGCCTGTGTTGTGAATGCTAAATGTCTCAGTTATGAGACTTTTATAATTTTATAACAGTCCAACTCCAGATGTGTATTAGGAAAATGTTCATATTCAATGGAAACTACCACTGTTGCAAAGCAAATTTTCTTGGTTACAAGTACTCAGGCACAGCTTTTTTTCTACTTGCATCCTGAGAACACAAACACAGACACTCATGATCATCATTACTATCATCATTTTCATTAAACGCATGGAAAAGTTATTTTTATGTCCTGAAGGTGAGGTACCAGTATACTGTGATTTTCTTCATAGTCTTTTTTTTACCTTAAGAATGTTGTTAAAAATTTTTTATCCTTGTATTGATTCACATAACTTGAAAAATCTGCTTATGAACTGTATCTTCCTGAAGCAGGCTGTAAAATTATACGATAATTAAACCATTGCTTAAAAAATATTTCAGTGCAACAGTGTCTATTATATAAAGATGTCCAGACTGGTGGACAGGATCAGGGTTAGGTCTCCTTGGTACAGAGATCAAGAGACCACCTTGGATAAGGGAAAAAAAGTAAGTCTCAGAATACACCTGGCGAAGTATCACCTGTCTTACTCTTCTTTCTCAGGTTTCCCAGGGTTAAGGAAACATAGCAAGAGAAAAGCAAACAGAAGAGGTCAGAGGAATGACTGCCTTCCTCCGGAATAACGAGCTAGGAAAGAAACCAAAGGCCTTAAGTAGGGTAACAAAATATTTGAAAAGTGGCAGGAGAAACATTTGATGACAGAGAAAACCATTGTAAAAAAATGACCTCAGACATTTAGACAGCAGATATGATTTAAAAATTTAAAAACTGAACACGGAACTTTTTTTAATTTTAAAAGTTAAATTAGATGTTGATTAACTTGCAAATAATAACCAGTTTGTGAAAAATATAGCAAATTATATTACAGCCAACTGTTTATTACTTTGAATTTTCTGTGCCATTTTGCCCTTATTTTCCTTTTTCCTCTCCCATAATGTATATTCTGTAGTATTGTTGGCTTAGTTGTTTGACTGAGAACTTGAAATTTTTGAAGACTAAGATTACTGAAAAGAAAAGGGTTTTGTCTCTATGTGGTATCCACACTTGCAGGGATTCTGGCTGTTTAGAAGGTGAATTTATAACCAGGAAACCATTGCTCAACAAAATGTCCCAATTACCATGAAAACAACTATGAGGAAATAAATAACATGCTTGGTTTTTAAACTTCAACCTAACAGTGACTAAAATCATAGTCTCTATGTAGATAAGAATTCAGGGAGACCCTATATAGACAAGAGTTCAGGGAGGCCTAAGAATGTCGCCCTAAATGACAGGTATGTTTCATCTTTAGAACTGCCCTGCCATGCCTCTTTAGAATTCTTTGGTGCATGTATTGACTGACACAGTGTCAGAGTCCCGACTGCTGTAGAATAGAGCATAACACGTCTCTCTGAAGTTTTCCTACAATCCTGTTTTCTCTATTTTAAAGATTGTGGCTTAATATCATTGTGAATCAGCCACATTTAATTTATTATTGTCTATTTGACTTAAAATTATGTTAACATTGTAATCTCCAGGTGTCATTCTCTATATTCTACTGGTGGGGTATCCACCCTTCTGGGATGAAGACCAACACAGACTCTATCAGCAGATCAAGGCTGGAGCTTATGATGTATGTAATAACTATTTATATCACTTTAAATGAAGATTTGTTTTTGCTTCTTGACCAAGTGTCAGATCTTTGCATTATTCTTTTAACAATTTTTACCATTTTCTCTTATTATTTTCCTCTCTCTTACAGAAAGAGAAAAAGAAATACAGCATATGTATTCACTTTATATTTCCTTTTAGCTCACTATCTCCTAACAGTGAAAGAAAAGCAATGTGAAGTCTCTGAAGAAGGACTCTCAAAATATTTGGATCTTAGTGCATTTTGAAAACATGAAAATTAAAATATTTCTGCTATAGAAATGATTGCCTATGTAGTTGAATTATATTCTCAAATATCTGTCACATAATTTTCAAATATATACCAACAGTATTTTATAGTGATCCTATATCAAATAGAACATTATCCCACTATACCAGTTTCTGGGTTTTGTTTTTTTGTTTTTGTACTGTTTATGTAATGGGCTACTATGCAAGCTTTTTTGAAAAATTTGAAAGTCACGATTCTAATATATTTAGCTTGTAATTAGAATATCTGCAAGTAGAAAATATATATTGTATGTGTGTATATATATGTGTTTGTGTATATATATGTGTGTGTGTGTGTATATATATATATATACACATTCATGAATTAAGTTCAGAATCTGAAGAGGAAGCCAGAAGGCTTTATCTACTTTTCTTTATGGCTTAATTTTGTGTTTATGATATCACTTGCTCTCCTTTGATGCATATTCTTGTAAATATGATTTACCACTTCCTCTGATTTCCCCTCATACAGCCCTTTGGAAATCCATGTGCAGGGTCTGGGCATGCTTTCCATGTGTTATTAAGTAGAGTAAATACAGAGTAGCAATACTGGGTTCACCTTTTGTGCACAAGTTGAAAGTACAATGTGAAAGTGAGAAGAGAAAATATAAAATGTCTGTACTCTATCATGTCTCATGAACTCTTCAATCCATTTCTGATAAAATTTTGTATTTAGATAGATGTGTGTGTCAGTTAGCAAGAATTTAAAATGTGTATTCTTTGAATTTCTAAGCATTCCGTTATTCCCAGACTAGTAATTGGAACAAATCATTATTTACATGGCAACGGCTAGCACATTGACCATCTTTACTGACTAGAACCAGCCCCTCTCTGGGCAGACACAGCCCTGCAAATGCACTGCTTGGTAAACCTGGAGGAGTGCTTTCATGAGAATTAGAAAACTCAGGAAAAGGTTTGCCTTTCTTCAGGCTGAACCTACCCCTCATTTGCTATCGGGAGACCTGTACAACATTAAGAAACAGCCTTGCGTGTTTCTTTAGTAGCTCCTTATAGCTGGAAAGCTTTTACAACTGCCAAAGATAAGCTTCAGGAATTTAAAAAATGACCATTGTTAAACCAGCAAAAAGTACAGGTATTAGAGTCAATATCATTTTTCTCATGTTTTATTTTGCCAATGAGTCACAAGTTCCCCATTTTAAAACTACTAAAAGTAAACTGATTTAATTCCATGACACAGTGACAATGGCTTTGTTTTTCAAGATTGTCTATACAAATTCATGAATTGGAAAATAACCTAATATTCCATCATTTTGCAACTAATGTGATGTAAATTTCCCTTAACCATTGAAGGACGGTATTTCTACTAAATATGCTAATAATGTAAAAGTAAGTTTAATAATCATCAGTACAAAAAAATAACATAAAGAAAGGAAAAGGAGAAGTAGCTTTTTTAATATAGTTTTAATGTAAAAAAAAGAAATAATGGGAAGTTATCAGATTTGATTACTTTCATACACTTTGGTGAAATTTCTAATTGGGCAGATTAAACTTCTTGGTTGGTTAAAATGAAACCTTGCTGAAGCTTCTTAGGTCTCAGATACTTCTCACTACAGCACTCCAAGTAGCCATGATTAATGGGTCAGTTTTGGCACAGGAATTGAAGCTGTTTTATTACCTCTGCTATTACTGCTTATGAATTGTGAAAGTATATAATGCCTCATTTTGAACTTCGGCATAATATCATAATGACATTGCTACACGTGGCAACCTCTTTGCTTTTATTAAGTTTTGCAAACAGTTTTGAGAAAGATTGTATAAAATTTCATTTTCAGATCAAAGCAGAGATACTTTGAGAACAGAAGATTCTTAAATTCTTTTCTTTTGAATTTTAAAAATGTATTTACTGTATGTGACAAGCAGCTTGTACATATGTCGGTCCTTTATCAGATACTCTAATATATGTAGTTTTCTGCATAGAGGGGGAGAATAGATCGAAATGGTTTTATTTAGATCTATTTAGAAACAAGTATCAAGTTTGGTAGCTGAGAGTAGAGTTTTAGTGGCATAAAAGAATGGTCATAGTAGTCCAAATGTATTTTTAAAATATTAAGAAAAATAGTGTCAAATTTGAGGAGGATCTGGAGATTTCAGTAAATTTCCTAATGTGTCAATTGCTAAGGTAACAAATATGGCACTAAGTGAAAGGTTTTATTTATTTTAAATACGATTTAACATATATAAAAGAAATTTATGAAGAAATTCACTACTTGAGGGAATGATTCATGTAGTTGACGCTGCCCTGTTTGTGTGTCTATTTTTAAAACTTTTTATAAATTTATAATTTTGAAGTTTCCATCACCGGAATGGGACACGGTGACACCGGAAGCCAAAGACCTCATCAATAAAATGCTTACTATCAACCCTGCCAAACGTATCACAGCTTCAGAGGCACTCAAACACCCATGGATCTGTGTAAGTAAAATTCTCCAAAACTTCAAGAGCTAAAATGAAAAAATAAGCTCTCCTTTAATATATTGTTTATGGATTTAAAATAATTTTGCAAAGAAAGAGGATACTCAGAATGAATGAATTTTTGACTCAAGGTGTTTAAGAAAATGAATTTTATGATGGTAAAAATGCAGTTTTCAATAGCAAATTCTGAACTGCAGAGATTGCTAAATAAACATTGCTTGCAGTAACAAAGGAATGAGTATTCTCCATATCAATTATTGACAATACTCATGAATGAGGTTAAAAAAATAACACAAAAATTAAATGTGTCCCAGAAGAAAAGATTTAACAAAGTTCAATTATTTGTCATTAGGCAACTTTAGAAACAAGTATGAAGTTTGGTAGCTGAGAGTAGAGTTTTAGTGGCATAAAAGAATGGTCATAGTAGTCTGAATGTATTTTTAAAATATTAAGAAAAATAGTGTGAAATTTGAGGAGGATCTGGAGACTTCAGTAAATTTCCTAATTTGTCAGTTGCTAAGATAACAAATATGGCACTAAGTGAAAGGTAATCCAATCAAATGTGATGAATACATTGAAATAAAGACAATTTGAGAAATTATTAATATTGATTTCTGTACTTTCTGTACATCAATGTTGCATCTCGGTCACAAGTAATCTTGGCAAAACTGAAATTTTTTTTTTAGGTAAGTTTGACAATTGAATGCTTAGAAGCTGATCATGCAGGGTGCAGCACCATTAATAAAGATTTGATGAAGTCAAGGATATTATATTTAGCATGTTTTACATATTCTCAATTAAGTCACTTTTTTTCCTCTTCTTCTAGCAACGTTCTACTGTTGCTTCCATGATGCACAGACAGGAAACTGTAGACTGCTTGAAGAAATTTAATGCTAGAAGAAAACTAAAGGTAAGCAATTTTACATTTTTGTGGGGAAGTAGATTTGGCAGCCTGAGAAGTGAAATACTATGTGAGGAAAATAACTTCTAGCAAAGACTTTCAATTATGTGGACCTCAATACTCTCATTATTCTTTTTTTGGGTCTTGGGAAAATGGAATATACACCAGAATCAAAACTATGATGAAAAGCTAGAATCATTCTGGCAACACATGCTGTGGGTCCTTTCTTCACTGGAAAACAGCTGTGCAATTTGATAATGAGAATCTGGCCCGCACATGAGGGCGGTCCCAGCATCATGAAAGACAAAGGCCTTTGACTCTCAGGAAACAAAAAACAAAAATAAACAATCAAAAATACCCTAACTGAAAGTAGGGCCAGGAAAAGATTTGTTATCAAAGACTGTATATTTGTTAGGTCCGGGGTTTGCATAGGCAACATTGACTTTTGTGTTCTAATTTTTTTGACAGGGTGCCATCTTGACAACTATGCTGGCTACCAGGAATTTCTCAGGTACATGCATTGATTACTCTGCTTCTTATCCTTTGGTCTTCTTTTTAAGTAGTCTGGTTTTTTTTGTCTATGGAATTTTAAAAATCTAATAATTAGAGAAACCTCATTGTTCAGGCGTGGCAAATGTGTGGCACAGATTCCTTCTACACCTGCGGCTGCCGTTAGCAGTCTGCCTGGGAGCTGTCTGCCGCAGAGCCTCCATGACTGCACCCCTCACAAGAGTGCTTCTGGCAGCTCTGGCCACCAGTCAGTGCTGGTGTAAGACTAGCCTCATCTGTCAAATGCTGGGGCTCATACTAGTTGTGGAAATAAATACTGACTCATTTGCAATCTCAGCATTTCACACCTAGAATTTATTATTGAGATTTCATAAAGTAATAACTATGAATAAGTTATTTTTGGTCTCATTTTCATAGGGAATCCCAGTATGCAAGATTTTTAAAAGAAGACCATTATTGAGGAACCCAGTTCTCTTAGACCTAAGTTCATTCAAAAGTATAGTAGTTTCTTGCCATGCTATAAGAATGATTACAACTGTCAAAGGTATCTAACCCAAGAATTTACAGAGCATCTTACACACAGTACTATCAGTGTATAATAAATGTTCCTCGAAATGATTCTATGGTTAAAATAAGTTTGTTAAATAATAGGCTAAAAGAAAGCAAACCAAGGCTGGACACAGTGGCTCACACTTGTCATCCCAGCACTTTGGGAGGCCGAGGCAGGTGGATCTCCTGAGGTCAGGAGTTCGAGACCAGCCTGACCAACATGGAGAAACCCTGTCTCTACTAAAAATACAAAATTAGCCAGGCATGGTGGCACATGCCTGTAATCCCAGCTACCCAGGAGGCTGAATCAGGAGAATCACTTGAACCTGGGAGGCAGAGGTTGAGGTGAGCTGAGATTGCACCACTGCACTCCAGCCTGGGCAACAAGAGTGAAACTCCATCTCAAAAAAAAAAAGAAGCCAAACCATTTCTTTATAGTAAGAGTCACTCTCTAAAAATGGAGATAAACTATATATTACTCAAAGAAATTACTTGAGTTTTGCAACCTCCTTCTTTGATAGAATGTGGTCAAAGGATCACATTCCCAAAAGTCAATTCTTGTTCAATGCTAAGCAGTCTTATGTGGGAGAAAGGACTGGAGCAGCATTTAAGCTGCACTTGGTAACCTTTGGCCCTTTAGACTTGGAACACTTCTTAAACATTGGTGCCAAAAATACTACCACTTTAGTTTGTGTATTGTTTACATATCAGTGATCTGCAGCATCAAATTATCCAGCTATTTTTTCAGTTCTTTATTTTCTGCTACATACTTAGCCTGGGTGTTATAGTGTTTTCAGATAATAATCCATAATATCATTGCTAAGTGTTCTTCAACCAACTTCTACTTATTATTTACAACTGTATTAAGTGGTCATTTTTCCCCCCACCTTTGCATTTAGTTGCAATTAGTGGGAAACCATAAGAGGCCTTTCAAAGACTGTTAAACAGCAACAGTAGTACAATGAATAATGCTACAAATTAAGGGACTGTGTTGGTCCGTTGTATGTATTTTGTCCAATTTGTTTAGTGTAATAAAACCTTGTTGCTGCCTTTGTCAAGTTACCTGTTTCATAAACAGTAGATTAGTATGGTTGACAGTTATATGAGTGAGTTCAGTGCCATCTCATTAAATATTAACCCATATATACTATATTCAAATAAATTTCACTGTGGCCCAATAATTAGTGAATCATTAAAAGGTAGGATTATTTATGTAGCATAAATCGTTAATAGCAACCTAACCCAAACTTTTATAAATTTTCAGACTTAAAATCGTGCATTTTGTCAAAGTGTTAAATACAATCTTGGACATAAATTGGGCCTTTATTAATGTATGTACCCATATATAGAAGCTTTCTGTTTACCTCACAGTTTCCTTTTCATCATCCTGTAGACTAAAAACTCATGACTAATATGTGTTTTTATATTGTTTCTGAATGTCTTAGCATGAAAGAGCAAATTTTTTTTCTCCATCACCTCAAAATCAACTGAATAACATTAGACCCAGTTACAACATCTTGTACTTGATACTGCATTTTAGTTTTCAGTATTTTATTCATTCTACTTCATTGCCAAACATGCTCTTTAAAGTAATTTGTCCATAAGTATATGGTTATAAAGTTGTTTTTATTTTTTCTTTTCTTCCTTTATGTGGAATATATTTCTTGTGAGGTAAGGTGAATAGTAACCAAAAGGGACATTTCTGCATCTCCCAGGCCAAATCCCTGCTTACCCTGAATCATTGTCTTCTCTTTGCTTGCTATTGCGATTTCAATTATTCTGAGTTTGCTTTCTAACCTATTAACTGCCACAGGATTGATTTAGTATTTCTTTTTAGCTCCAGGCAAACAATATAATAGCTAAGGCAACTATTTCTTACAATCTCAATTAATAATAAATTAATAGCTTTCTTGCTAAAGACTAAATGAAATTAACATTTTTGTATCTTTAAGTAAATTTAAAAATATACCAATATGATATTGAAATAATGCCCCAAATCAATGAACATCAGTAAATTACGTGTTCATGCAGTTCTATTCCAGCTAGGTATTTCCATTTTTGAAGCCAAATTCTATTCTTACATACTTAAATAAGTATATGTAATTAATATTAAATGAAAGCATGAGTGTATATTGTGTCCTTCATATTTGTGAATGTTCTATTCTTGGTGTACTAATTGTCATTGACACTTATATTATCTGTTCACTGTGTATATACACGTTCATTAGTAGATTTTTTTGAAATAATTGCTTCACCTTTTAATATACTCAAGAAGTTTAGTAACAGAAGGAATGTTAAAAGTTCCCCGCCAAGAAAAATGAAGTTTTATATAACACCATAAGCTTTAAGATTTCTCTGATTTAGTTGAAAATTTTTTGTGTGTTGTCTCAAATTTTATTTTTACTTTTTCATTGTAAAGTCTTTTGTTTGTATTCTGATTTTAAAGTATAAAAGAATACATAGTGCCATTTTTTAATATCATATGCTAAACATTTAAAAAATTTGCTCTAGGCCAATAATATACCATTTTATTTAAATAGTAATATTTTTTGTAAAAGCAAATTGTCTGACTTCAAGAATATAATGAAGATGTTATTTAGCCAGAGCAAATTTTACAAATGAGTTTTCAACCTCTAAAAAGAGGGGCTTAAATGGCAGAACTGACATGGTCACCATACATGTGGTGTGAATGAACATGTAATACAATCTGTCAGCTGATGTTCAAAGACTGAAATCAACTTTCTGGATTACAAAAAGATAGTCCAGTTAAAGTTCCAGTATCCTTTTCGCAATCAACAGTGAAATAAAGTCCAATAAACACAACTGGCAAAGTATTCAATTATATACAATGAACTACTCTTTAGTTCTAAATTTGCTGTGGCAAACCAAGAAAAGTGATACTGTGTTTCAATGTTCTGTAAGCTCGCGCTCATCAGTGTGACTTTGATAACTTGCCATATGTTGGCCATAACTCAGCAAAGGTGGTAGAAGGAGACAATAACCTGACTGCTCTGTTGCCTGGCTGTGGGTTTCTATGCATAACTCACTAAACTGATTTTATTCTCATTTTACAGCAGCCAAGAGTTTGTTGAAGAAGCCAGATGGAGTAAAGGTAAGTTAAACAGATGCCCCTAATCCATTTCTGACTTTCAGATGCTGGATAATCTTTAAATGTTAACTATAATTCCTAAGTCTTTGCAAGTTCTATTTTTTATTGTTTCTGATAAATGTTGCAGGTTGAAATAGAAATGATTTAATATACAAATATGATTAACACTTATACCAAGAAAAGCTGTATTTCTTCTATTGGATTATATATGAAATAGTCATGAAAAAATAATATTGTCATACAATACAGAGTTTCTGTAGAAACTGAATGTCTGAATTCTCTCTGATTTACTACAGTTCCAAACTAACATGGTGACATAAAAGTCTGTAAAAACCAAATGCTTTTCCAAATAATTATGCTGCATATGTGAAGGCCGTTGAAGTGTATAGCCTGAAAAATACTCACATTGGGGTATGGAAAATAGAATGTCAGATGACTAAAATAATGTGGTTGGGCAGTTTTTATCAAGGTCATAATTATTCCTGTTTTAATTATTCCTGTGTTTATATCAGAAGGTGTTGAGATATATTCAAGATGAATGTTTTGAACAAATATTACAAAAATCTTACAAGAAAAATAATAGCAGGATATTTTTACTTTACAGGTTTCTAAACAAAATAATTCAGTTTCTTTCCTACTGATTGTGTTTTGTTTCAAGGGAATTTATTCTTGTTGGAATGTAACCTCATATGTGCATAATGATGTTTGTTATATTTTCAGAGTATCACCTAAATGTTTTATTTCTTTAATCCTTTTCTTTCTCTTCCAAGGGCAGATGCCATACATTCTTCATCAACACTTCAACATTCTTGGGAATTAATTAGTTTTCTAACATTTGAATTTGACCCAAAGTCAGGTGGTCAGTTCATATTGAAAGCATAACAGAGAAAATCATTTGTCACTTTAAATGTTCATGTTCAGTCATTCAGTCATTTCTTTAACACCTGTCTGTGTGCAACTTGGAAATTTCCAGAGCATGGATGATTATGCATTTGTCATTTCCTTTGGGATGCCATTTCCATTTACCAATTGCTTTCCTCAACCTGCAATTTTGTCTTCATTTTGATTTGTTTATTCCATTTAGATTTTAATAATGATAGTTGAAGACTGCCTTTTTCCCAATGTTGCAATAGTAGAAATGTAGTATCTTACATTTTCCAAATATTTTCTTCTCCTGGGCTTTCCTGTACCATTCAGTGTTGGAGGGCTCACAGTTCCTATTGAGATATTTATTTTCATTACTATTTTTACATAGAAAACATTTCCAGAACTTTTTTTTTTCCATTCAACTTATAGCTCCTCTTTAAAAACAAAATTATTCTGTACTCCATGCTTTGATACTCTAAATTCAACCGGTCATATTTTTTTCTTTTCCTTTCTCTTTGACTGGTCAATTCAGAAAAGGAAATCCAGTTCGAGTGTTCAGATGATGGTGAGGATCTCTATCTGCCAGATTTCTCCTCCTGTGAAAATTCACACTTAGGAATAAAAGTCTTATTTACCTATGATAGTGTAAGTGGAAAGGGTGTAGGACCATTACAGGTCAGTGTTAATCAACTATCAAAACACACAGTACTCCTCTTACATGCTATATTGTTTTACTCTGAAGTTGAATTTGTTAACCATGTAAAAAGTTATATTAACAAGTTTGCCCTTTTACATGGACAAAGTACAATTCTCTCTTTGAAAATAAAAAGACCATAACAGAATTTGTGTATAATGATAAGTAAAAAAATGCTATATGATTATTTTTAAATGTTCTTCATGGTTGCTAAAATAGGTGTGATTTACAGGACAACATAATACGTTCACCATGGAGTTTATAAAGGTGTAAAAGTGATCTTACAATGTATTAATTCTAGTTAAATACCTTAAAAAGAAATATTTATTAACCTCAAAACAATAAACTCAACACCTGAGAAACAGGAATATCTTGCCCTGCCTCATGAAAGTAATTCAGTGCATTGTACAATTATCTGATTTGATTATTTGACTCATGTTTTTTTAAAAAAAGAAAAATACCCTGCTTCTACTAATATTTAAGAATTATATCACACAAAAGCACCAGAGTTCTTATAAGTTTAAAGACATCTATGGTCTGGGAATGGAGTCTTACACCTGCAATCCCAGCACTTTGAGAGGCTGAGGCAGACAGATCACCTGAGTTCAGGAGTTCAAGACCAGCCTGGCCAATATGGTAAAACCCTATTTCTACTAAAAAAAAAAAAAAAAAAAAAAAAATTAGCCGGGCATGGTGGCCATACCTGTAATCCCAGCTACTCGGCAGGCTGAAGCAGGAGAATTGCTTGAACCCAGAAGGCAAAGGTTTCAATGAGCCAAGATCTCACCATTGCACTCCAGCCTGGGCAACAAGAGTGAAACCCTGCCTCAAAAAAAAATTTTTTTAAGACGTCTATGGCTGAACCCGTTCTTGATATTTGACTCTTTTAAAAGAACTACTTCTAGCCTTTTGCTTAGAAATTCTCCTATTGTTTTTCAATAAATTAATATTATAAATACCTCCAAAAGATTTTCCATAGGAAAAAAATCATTAAGTTAATCTTTACATTAACAAAAAAGTTTTTAACTGCACATTAAACATGACCAAAAGTGTGGTTGAGGCACATACTCATTTAACTCGTGTTTCCCATACCTAACAATAAAGAATGTCTTGCCCAGACAGAATGGCCTTCATCTGGAAGAGATGATGGTGCGTGTATGCTATGTATCTATGTGTGAAGGTGTGGAGGTGTGTGCGTGGGTGGGGGGCACATGTGCTCTTGTGCAGATAAGTTTGTGTGCATAGGTGTACATGTGGGACATTTTCACCAAAATAAAGCAGTTATTGGCAACCACATCCTAGAAAAAAAAATCAAGTATCATGTCTCAAAACAGAAATAAATGTATCTCAGAATATTGCTTTCATTTGCATTCACTGATATAAACTAAATATTGCATATTAAATACATGTGGTGCTTTAACCGTAAGTGCCTCTGTTCATTTGACAGGAAGCCAGCTATGTTTTGCCCAACATGCTTCCTGAATTGGAAATTATTTGTGTGTGCATCCCTCCCCTTTTTTTACATACCCTGTACTAACATAAGTACTGAATTTTGATCCCTCTTTAATAGACTTTATTACCTCTTATCTCTTTTTGGCTCTTGTACAAATATCATGTAAAATTCTGTGCACTTTGATTTAAAGAAAAAATGTTTTGACTATCTGCAGAATATATATTGATGACAACATTTACAGATTTTTTCAGTAAATGAAAGTTTAGAGGCTTTCTCATCCTTTCCTGCAGGTCACACAGCACAGTATTACAGCTTATTATAAAAATAATGATACCAGTAAACACAAATAGTGATGAAAAGAAAGGAAAACGATTACATATTTAAATTAATTTATGTTACCTTCTATCTTCCTCTCAATACTAGTTTTGACAGGATATATAGGTATCAAGTATAGACTTCCCAGAAAACCCAAACAATTAAACTGGTATCATCACTTGTAAATACCCATTTGATACTCATTTATTTTATACAGCGTATGTTTCTCTTTAAGTCCTTACATATATTTATATTAAAATCACTGAGATGTATTCCTTTAAAAAATAATACAGTACTTAGATAATATAGTGTAAGAAAATGAATGTTATCTAACATTTTTTTGATAACCATAATGTAAGTTGTCATGCATGAGTTTAAAAGAATGTTGATTATTACTTTTTGGTCTTTGATTCTTAGTGCCCCGACTCAGTTGTAGTTTCTGGTTGCCACTTGTCTATAAAGAGTCTTCTCTGTGGACCATTAGAATACTCTTTGATCCTCTAAGTTGCTTTTACCACACAGCCTCCACAGTGGTAGTCATATCTTCTTTAAAGTCGAACCTGGTTGTGTTAAAGCAAGGGAATGATATTACCAAATATATTCTGCAATGATAGCAGTAATACTTCGACAGAAAATGTAGTATTTTCCTCCTACACAACTGTAAAAATTAAAGTCCTTTTACATTCAACATAAAAAGTGTGATTTCCCCACTAATAAAGATGTAATTTTAAAGATCTACACTTATCATTTTTAAAAGCTATTGTGACATCAGCATTGTATCAGAAGATCTAAATTTTAATTGGATATCTCCTAAAAAAGTAATAATGGCTCGCCAGAGAAAGACGGTCTATGTGTGACTTCAGGCTAAAGAATAAAATGGGGGGAAAAAGGAATATAACAGTGAACAATTGGAAGCTTGGAAACAGAATCCAGCTTGAAGAGTATGAGAATTATTATATTCATTTCATACTCTGAAACCTGAGTTGAGCTCCACTGAAGCAGCTCTTTGTTTGCTAAGGTGGCACAGCAACAGCAGCCACATCTGTTTTCTCATTGCACCATCACGGACATGGTCCAGCCTGTCTGTGACCATCGGAGACTAGCAATCATCATTCCCGTCAGTCATCACAGTGTCTTTCACGTTCATCTTCAGTGGCTCTTTATCTTCGTGTCTACATCTCCATGTAGACATGCTGCGTCTAGAGACATTGGCTACCAAGGGGTTTAAGGCATCTCTGTTTCTATTTTCTGCATACCCACAGATAAACAACAAAGCCAACGTGGTAACCAGCCCCAAAGAAAATATTCCTACCCCGGCGCTGGTATACCTGGACTCTTTGTAACCCTTCTTAAGTTCTTTTTTTTTTTTTTCCTTTTTTGTGGTTTCTCTCATTTGCTTTCACGATATATATACATATATATAAATATTTTATTTCGTTGGGCGTTGGGTTTTGGTTTTTTTTTTGTTGTTTTTTTGTTTGTTTGTTTGTTTTGTTTTGCTTTCTACAATATGACAAAAGTTCATTCTTTTGGTTTTTTGGTTTTTTTTTTTTTGGTTAAGTTAGTTGTCAAGCAGTGTGGTCTAACATGAGATTATCTCATTTCATTGTTGAACATTGTACTGATAGCTGTGATCTCTGTAGTTGGATCGTTGCATGCTGCATTCAAAATACAGCGCTTTGGTTGCTCTTAGCTCTTCTGATGATGATAGTTCTAGATTATACAAACAATGGTTTCTTCTTTTCATGTTGCAAATGCTGACATCAAGAAGAGCTAATGGGATTGTTGCTAGACAACGGAAAAGTAGACCTTATTCAGAGTTCTTGTTTCCCTCTTATTAAAAGGGCTTGGTAAGATTTCACTTTCTGAGATAAAGAGGCACTAGATAATTTAGAGCCTTTTGTTTATTGTGATTTAAATTAAATTTTCACTGTTTCACTTTAATCCAAAGAATGAAATTGCAAAGAATAAAACTTTGAAATATCAGCAGAAGCCAGTTATATCTATCTCAATCAAATCCACACAATTAATAATTAAATTAGTCTAACACTTTGAATGGTGTTATGTTAAAATTCAGAATTTGAATACTGGCATTCAGTGCTCTCTGAGTTCCATAACATTTTCCCTAAACTATTTCATAGTTTGATATATGATTTTCAGAAATTTTTCCTATTATTTGCCTTTCTCATACTGTTATTTTAAATAAATTTTTAAATGTTAGGGAATTATTTTACTTGGGTTAACTATGGGACTCCATTTAAAAACATTTAAAGGAAGGACACATCAAGATAGCAAATTACTAGTAAATATCAATATTGATCACAGTCGTAGCCAAGGGAAAGCGAGAATGGACGCGGTGAATATGTTCTCTCTCAATATTACAGCAGTGTAAACTGTAGTGGTGCCGGAGTGCCCATGGTTGAGAACTCCCAGTGGGTTGCAGTACCTCCCCATTACCAAGATATCACATAATAAAAGTGCTGAGCATGTCACTGATGTATGCATATTGAATCATTTTTTTACATCAGTTATTTGGGTGTTATTCTCCACTTGGTAATATTTCTTCACTTTCTAATAGAAAAACCAATACTTTCTTCATGGAAAAGCATGACTTTATAGCCAAATATTCTGTATATGTAGTCCATAAAGTATAAGTTTTCTTTTAGATATGAATTATCGCAGGATTTGACAGCAATCTGCCTCAAATTACAGTGATTACATGATTAGTTCTAGAACCCTTTAAGTAAACTTTAAAAAATGTTCCTTAAAAATTTTTATGGACTTTTGAAATGGATTCTTTAGTATAGTCTTTTTTTTTTAAGTGTTGTCCAGTGGTTCTAGATTTTACAAGGGTATTCAGTTATGTGTTAATTATATTAAGGATACCATAATCAAGTTTCAAAGCAATGCAACTAAAAAATATCTTCTTGGAGAATTTGAAATCATCTCGGAGTTTTAACTCCAGTGTCCTTGGCCAGTTCTTTATGGTACAGATGTTCACTCATTATGGTACGGGCCACTCATTAAAGAAGAAAGGAAAGCATAGGATTAGGTGAAACAGTGAGTGCCTCTTTAGGTCTCTAAATATTGAAGCCTTGTTTGAATGCTGATGAAGAATAAGGTCTTTTGCATGCTGCTTCTGGGTAGGGAGGTTCTTATCTCATGGGCTCGCCAGGGAGATCTTTCATCAGAGGTATTGTCAGCTACAACTCTGACAGCAGTTGACATCGCTTTAGCTCTTGTCACTATTTTGTTTTGTCAGCTGGCTCACTCTGCTCTGTCCCTCACACTAGAAAGAACGTACTTACCAATGCGAACTGTTTCTTTCTCTATTTTGTTCTCACTCAGGAGCCCCAAACTACTGTAATCCACAACCCTGATGGAAACAAGGTATTCAGAAAGAATCAACATCATCTTGCTTTAACAAGACTATACATCTCATCAAATATTCAAAAAAAAAATAATTCGTTGTCTAAAAATAGGAAAGAAAATTCTAGCTGTTTTCTACCATACTTCCTTTTGGGCCTAATTTGTTTAGAACTATGGACATACTTCTTGCAAATAAAAATGAATGACATCTCAAAAGAGAAACTAATGTTACCATGAGTCAATTAAAGTCAGGCTAAACATAAAGGAAGTCTTTATGTCAAGATGACTGTGTGTCTAAGCAATTCCATTTTATCATTTTTTTCACCATGACTTTGTGCTTTGTACTGTAGATATATTGTGCATGATACTGTAGAATTTCTGACTACATCATTCCATTGTCTTCAAAAATATCAACTTGACTTCATAGATTTTTTTTTAAAATTTAGTGTTACATTTGAGTTTTATTCTATTCCGTTGTCAGAGTGGTTTTTGTGGGTTGGTTTGTTTGTTTCTTAATTCCCTGTTGGTGATGATGATGTTGTCGTTGTCGTTGTTGTTGTTTGGCATGAATTTGAGGAGAATGAGTTTCACTTTTTGTGAAATATGTTTGTTGTTGAGTAGTATACATTCCAGTAACAGGAGTTCAACTACTGTTACTGAAAGAAGACTAAATGTTTCCTATACATTTTAAAGTATTTGCATAGCATGTTAACTAAATAACAGCAGTAGCATACATGTCTATAGGATGAAAGACCTTTTCTGAATGTATTCCATGTGTCCAATTTATTACTTTTTGTACATTATTATGTCTCCAAGGGGAGAAAAATATACTGTACTAAACTTTTCTCCAATATTAGATACAGTCATGGATCTTCTCCATACTCCTATTAATGATGTTTAAGACTTAGAAAGCACATTTTATCCTCAGACTTAGAAAACACATTTTCTCTCTGGTTAAGATTTAGTTGATCAACATTAAAGCCATTAAAATAAAAAACATGAAGCGTTATGCTCTTTAATATAAGATTTATTTTATAGTTATGACACTGAAAATGATCTAAGTCCCAAAAAGCATTGAGATAGGACCATCACATTCAAGAACAATTTTTTTAATAGCATTAACAAATGACATGCTGAGTGTAACAGCTGGAATGGACACTTCAGTAGTTCTAGCTATATCATTTGTAAGAGTTTCTGCATGATATTTCTTGCTTACATGAATTAGTTTAATTTTACAGTGCATGGGTTATCAGTTTAAATTTGAATACTAGGTCGCATTAAGAAATGCATGAAGATTCCTTTCTTTGATTTTGTGTGTATGGAGACTCTGGGTACATCTTTAATTAGTTTTTCCCATGGTTTAATTACTGTATATGATGTTTATATAAATTGATCACTTTTTCGAATATTGAATTTCTAAAATGACAATGACTGGTGTCTGCATTGTTTTCCAGAATCTGTTTTGCATTACTGAGCTATTGATTGGAAGTTGGTTTCCAGTTATTTTTTATTCTAGCATTAAATCATTCCAAGTAGAAAACTATGTCTTTCTTAAGAATATTGCAAAATTTATTTGCTAGAATATTTTTTATTCAGACATTATTAATAAACACATTTATCATACCATTTTAAGAAATATATCTTAATTTTGGCAGTTACAGTGTACTTTTAAGTGTGCTTAACAATCATCGACTTAATTTGTAGTTTTACGAAGAAAGAGCTTTGTCTTTTTATTATGGAAATAGGTTTCTTATCAATAACATCCAGTTTCTAATTTTGAAAAGAATGAAAAATAATCTAATTGTCATCAAAAGTAAATTATTCATTATAATTCCATTGTGCTGATGACAGACATGAAAATTCCTCTCAAAAGTACTTTCAGCGTATCTCCACTTAATCCCCTTAGTTCTTCATCAAATGATGTGGTGAAATGCTTTCTCTCCCAATAAAGGAGTAAGGCATAGGCCTTAACATAGTGCCTGACAAAAATAAGGTACTCTGTTGATTAATTAATTGGAAATAAAAAAAAAGTTCTATTTTAAATTTCAAATTCATGCAGCTAACGTATTCAATTTCTTGTAAACACACAGAAAAAGCACACCTTATAGAGCACTGTAACACAAACACATCCTTACACAGTTTTTAAAATAAACTGCCTATTTCTGCTGGTTCCACAAATCACCTGGATTTATACAACTTTGGAGATTAGACAACCAGAGTACTCCCTGTTTGAAATGTTTGCAGCATCAGACATTTTGTTTCTGTTAAAAACCACTTAATGTTTTTGTCTATTTGCATGTCAGCATATGCACATAGCCTGCTGAAGAATTTTGCATGATATGTATGTTACTAGCCAATTTTTAAAGACGAAATCAAGCTTTCATTGTATGCAACCTAAAATTGTGTTTTCTTCTCATCAGGAGTCAACTGAGAGTTCAAATACAACAATTGAGGATGAAGATGTGAAAGGTATGATTTAACCAGAAATGGAAAATCCTAACTCAGAGAGAGCTTCATATAGATAAGTCTATATATAAAAAATGTGCTTCAAATAACTAATAAGTTTAGGAAGCAGACCTATCCTAAAACACAAAAATATTTTATTCATGAATTTAAAAAAATTATAACTAAATAATTATTTCAATAATGTATGTTGATTTTGTCATTTTCCCACATATTCTTTTGTATATTGAAACCGTAGATATGTAGCATATTCTAGCCCATTACAGTAATGACAACTAATAATGAGTTACTAGTTATAGGAACATAACAAATTGGAAATTTGTCAGTCAAAAAGTGATATAAAATGTATACATATTGGGTACATTCATAAAAGCTATCTGGAAAACAATTTATATTCAAGGATACAGTATAAAAATAACTTTTAAACATTTAGTCATCTCATATAAGTAGAATTTTGTATTTGGCCACCTTTTTATCCTAGTTTTTTGTGTACATTCCAAAGATATTCTTGACCTCCATTCACTTTGGTTACCCAGGTTCTTTTAGCTACATGTATAAGTCATTGGCAGTGTTTTTAAAGACATCTTACTGCCCCTGCACACACATACTGAGCACACATTTGCAGTTAGCTCACCTCCTTTGACCACATCACTGTTTTAGAAGCATTACTTTTATATCAATTGCATTTGCAGTTTTATGTTATTTTTATTGTATGTAACTACAATCTCTATAGACCAATTATCTAGAAGACATTCTGACAAAGAGTGGTAACAGTGGGATATTTGAAATAGAAATATTAAAGGAAAAGAGATATGAATTGAGAGCAATGATCCATAAATTAATTAAACCTATCTGAAAAGATTACTTACCTAATAGTATCACCATAAGCTTTAATTCTAAAGGTGGCATTAATACGATAAAGTCTTGAAAAGTTGTATTTATGTTATAGAATAAAGGACTTGGAAATCCTCAGGTCAAGGAGACATACGGTCAATTTAGGAAATAAAAATGACTGTAGATCACAACCTGCCAGTCAACTCTGCTGACTTTTTCCTTTTTGTTTGAATAGAACAGCTGATGCTATTAAAGTATACTCTCTATTTATATAACTAAGCACACTGACCTAACTCTGCTAGAGGTAGTCAGCCATTATTTTCTACAGTGGAAAGGTAGACAGCTGTGTCAAGAATTTTATTTCGTAGGTCTATTCATCTCATTCTTTGCACTTGAGCTAAAATTTGAACTGAAGTAGTTTTATGAATCATTGATACCAGTCATATTAGATAAAAAGATTCTTTTTTTAAGCCAAATAAATAGATATGCCATTTAGCTTTCCCAGTGATTCAGGAAGCATTATTTTTGTAAGTGTTTTGAACTCATTAGCTTCTTTAAGCTAAGGCAAATGTTTCATATGAATTTTTACATTCTTCCCATGACCAAGACTAAGAAAACCTGATTGTCCACTGGAGAAACTGAATCTTTAAATAACTAAGTAAAATTAGGAGAATACCAGCACCTCACTATATGCAGTTCATCTGCCAAGTGATACGATAATGGTTATAGTAAGTGATCTTTCTCACCTGAATTTGACACTCGACTATATTAAGTATTGGTTCAGGATCACTGCTTTTAATCTATGTAAATATTCATGCATAAACAGAGTTCCCATCAGCATTACCCTGTAGTTTGTAATTTCTTTTTGATAAAATGAAATAATGTCATTTCTTAGAAAACAGTTCTTCAATTCAAATCATAACAATAATATTGGTTTCATCTTGCCTCTGAGATTTCACAAATTGGGATAATATTTGTATTTATAGTTATGTTGAGTCTATACACAACAAATATTAGAGAAATTCAGCATTATATTGAGATTAAAAGAAATAAATGTCCAGATGATAATTTAACCCAAAGTGCTTTGGTTTATTTCCTTAATAAGTACATTGTTTAAGTTTCTGCTTAATTTTACTGGCGTGGATCTGGCCAAAAAGCCGTAGATATAGCTCGTTAGGACTCATTTATGTTCTCTGTAAGACCCAGACAGCCTTTTGGGGACTAACCCTTTTAATATTGAATGACATCAGAAACCTTTAAGACTAGAAGACACTTTGAAATATTACCTAGGCACCATCATTTGTACTGGGACAAATGGTACATGAAATAGTCTTAAATGATTTTATATTATTTATTATGCTGATGAGCTGTTTGTATGGGAATCTCTCCATTTATCAGTGCATAATCCTCAAGAAAGACCCTATATTAGAATAATTATGCTCTCTTATTTTTACATTAGAATTGCTGTGGTTCTCAGTAGCTTGGTAGGGAATGTGTTTATTGTCCAGCTCTGTTGAAACCCAAATTAACCCATATCTGATATCCTATAGCTAACATCCAAGAACTCACAAATACTATCAGTTATATAACCTGACCAAAACTGTATCCTATCTACAAAACCATGACATATCTACAAAATTGTGTGTCTTCCACACACATAGTTTCAACCTTTTCTTTTCTGTAGACAACATTGTTATCAGTGAGACACCACACTTTTTGACATATTCTTTAAAAAATACCCCCATAGCATACTTCTGCATGCAAGCACATGCTCTACCCATTGCTGCTGGCTGCCTCGGATATAGTGCATCTAACAACAGCACCTAGGCTTACATTGTTTTATGGTGGCACATGATTCCTTGAATACCATGTCACATGCCTCCCATGCCAAGGCAGTGCACATTCTGCCCCGTCCCCAAGGACTAACCTGGCAGGGACAGCTTCTGTGTCCTCTTTAATATAAAGAAACATGGAGTTGCTGGACGAGGGGATTAAACCTCTGGTGACCTGGTCGAGGGAAGAAATAAGGTAAACTAACAACAGGGTGGTGTTTTTTGTTGTTGTTGTTGTTATTAGTTTTGTTTGTTTGTTTGTTTCTGACCTTTTTGAGTGGGGAAAAGACAGGCAGGCCAGCTGCTCTCAAAGACAAAAGAAAGCAAAAGTAGTCAGAGATTAATGGTTCTTCAGTCTGGAACACCTTGGAAAGCCAGGATTTAAAAGCCCATTTTTCCTTCAACTCTTCTTATTAGTTTCCATTGAGAAATCATGACCCAGTCTGTATAATACTTTTGAATTGTGTCTAGGCTGTTTCTTCATTCAACAAATATTTATTGAATGCCTTCTGTTTACCTAGGTTACATGTGCTTCTCTTCGTGAACTAGCCATGTTCAAGAGATTTGAATGCCTCAGAGACAAAATGCTATTTCCTACCCTTTATATGAATCTTGTTATGCTATAATTTAGGCCCATTTATCTTACATAATACAATAACTATCAGGAAAAATTAGTGAAACCTAACATAAATGCATATTTTATCTAAAAACAAAACAAAAAAACAACTCAGTGAAACCCAGAAAAAAGTGAGACCCAAGTTAAATACATTTTTAAAATCTAAAAGTTCTTTTATTTTCTTTTTCTTAAAAACCTTCAACTTTTGGCTGTAACCACGTTTTTCTTCCCAAGCTCATAATCATCCTAAAAGTCTTGCGTTGTTTTACAACTCCTGTTTGTAAAAAGCTTCCAGAGTTCATTGTTTTTTTTCTCCAAGGCAATGTGTTGACATCCTAGTGTTGACTTTTGAGCAACTTTCTAATTTTGTCCTGTGTTTAAAACTAAATATTATCTCTGATGCTATGTAAGGAAACTCAGTAGCAAGCTCAGTGTCATGAAGAGTTACTAATAGTTTCAAAGCAAATGGGAGTTTGGGCATGGTGGCTCATACCTGTAATCCCAGCACTTTAGAAGGCAGAGGCACACAGATCTCTTGAGGTCAGGAGTTCAAGACCAGCCTGTCTGACATGGTGAAACCCCATCTCCACTAAAAATGCAAAAATTAGCCAGATGTGATGGGCATGCCTGTAATCCCAGCTACTCAGGAGGCTGAGACATGAGAATCACTTGACCCCAGTGGGTAGAGACTGCAGTGAGCCGAGACCATGCACTGCATGGGTGATAAAGTGAAACTTTGTCTTAAAAAAAAAAAAGGCAAATTGGAGCCCTAACAAAGCATAATTACCATCATGGAAGCACTGTAGTAACAAGTGCCCATCCTACACTAGGAGAAAAAAGTTTTGTCATTACAACTAACTGGTGTTTTCAAAATATACAATTCTTTAGGCTAAAAATTGTTGAAATAGTCATTTACATTTTTAATCCATTTCCAGTAAAACAGTTACTTTCATTAATTTAAGGTGTTATCAAACAGCTGTCATCATTAGCCCTTAATTAGCAGTTGACAGTACAAACTGCACTCCTCTCCAGGGGTGTGGATGTGCCTAGAGTCAGTGATGTCTAGCAGGAGTTCTTTTCACACTGTATACATTTGAAGACTCTCCTTTGGTTTGTGGCTATAGCCACAGTTTGCAGGACCTGTCACTGTTATGCCACGAGGCCTCTCTGCCTCATAACCCATCCAGCGCCATTGTTCAGAGTTACCTACTTCCTCCTGATGGGTGCATGTCCATGTAGTCCATCTGTTGCTCTTTCCCAGAATTCCTGTGTAGCACCTGTTGAAGTTGGGCTCCTCTAGGCCCTTGTGTCATTTCTGTCACCATCCTGTTTCCAATATCTCACTTCAGTTCACCATTCACCACAAGCTTGGATCTCTTGCTGCATTTGATCCTTCTTACAGATCTAAAAAAGTGGAGCCCTTTACAACAAGCAGAATTCTGGCAATGAGACTGTGTGTGGCGACTTCATCCTGAATTCCTTTTTCCTTTTCCTGAATACTAGGTTACTACCTAGTAATGAGGCCACCTTGGATGTCTGCAAAAGGCTCAGTTAAGGACAAACTTGTTGGCACCTTTATTACTTGAATGATGATTCATCTTTGATGACGCCTGGGTATCATGGTCTCAGCTAATTTATGAAATCACTTGATTGATGAGCTTTCTCTGTGTGTCTTTTATAAATATGTCCATCAGTGAATAGTATGATGACTGGTTACCCAAATT